GTTGTTGTTGTTGTTAAGTGCCATCGAGTTGGTTCTGACCCATAGCGACCCTGTACAGGGTTTCTGAGGGTGTAAATCTTTACGGGAGTAGAAAGCCTTATCTTTCTCCCGTGGAGCGGCTGGTAGTTTTGAACCGCTGACCTTAAGGTTCGCAGCCCGATTCGTAACCACTACGCTTCTGGATTCTCGATTCTGTACCATTGATCTATGTATCTTTCATTTTACCAGTACCAAGCTGTTTTGACCACTGTAGCCGTGTAGTAAATTTTGAGGTCGGGGTGTGACAGGCTCCAACCTTATTCTTCTTAAGCAGTGTTTTGCTTATCCTGGGTTTCTTTCCTTTCCATATAAAGTTTGTAATTGTTTTTTCCATCTCTCTGAAGAATGTTGTTGGAATCTGGATTGGGATTGCATTATATATGTAAATTGCTTTGGGCAGTATTGACATTTCACAATATTAAGTCTTCCTATCCAGGAGAATGGTACATTCTTCCATTTTTGTAAGTCTCTTTTGGTTTCTTGTAGTAGTGTTTTATAGTTTTCTTTGTATAAGTCCTTTGTTTCTCTGGTTACATTTTTTCCTAGATATTTCATCCTTTGGGTGGATATTGTAAATGGTATTGCTTTCCTAATGCCCTTTTTCAGTGCTGTCATTTTTGGTGTAGAGGAATCCTACTGATTTTTGTGTGTTTGTCTTATATCTTGCCACTTTGCTGAATCTTCCAATGCGGTCTAGTAGCTTTTTTACTGAGTCTTTGGGGTTTTGGATTTCCCTGTCTTGCAGTATAGCTCTCGCTAAGACTTTCAGCACAATATTGAATAGGAGTGGTGACAAACGGCATACTTGTCTGGTTCCTGTTTGCAGAGCGAAGGCTTTCAGTTTCTCTCCATTGAGAGTAATGTAGGCTGTTGGTTTTGTATATATACTGTTAATTATGTTGAGGAATTTCCCTTCAATTCCTACTTTGTTGAGTGTTTTTATCAGGAATGGATGTTGTATTTTGTCAAATGCCTTTTCTGCATTAATTGATATAGTCATGTGGGTCTTTCCTTTTTTTTATTTTTATGGTTCTCTTCTTTTTTTCTTATTTATATGGTGGATGATGTTGATTTTTTTCTGATGTTGAACCATCCTTGCATCCCTGATATGAATCCCACTTGATCATGTTGTATTTTCTTTTTATTGTGCTACTGGATTGATTCAGTTGGCTAGGATTTTGTTGAGAATTTTTTCATCTATGTTCATGAGGGATATTGGTCTATAATTTTCTTTCTTAGTGATGTCCTTCCCTGGTTTTGGTATGAGGGTTATGCTTGCTTCTGGAATAATTTGAGTAGAATTGGTGAGAGTTGTTCCCTGAATGCTTGATAGAACTCACCGGTGAAGCCTTCTGGGCCTGGGCTTCTTTTGGTTGGTAGGTTTTTGGTGACCTGATCAATTTCTTCTTTTGTTACGGTTCTGTTCAGGTTTTCTACTTCACTCTGTGTACGTTTAGGTAGGTCATGTTTTTCTAAAAATGTATCCATCTCTTCTAAGTTTTCAAATTTGTTTGAAATATTCTGTTATTATCCTTTTGATTTCTTTTGATTCTGTTGTGACATCGCCCGTGTGGTTTTTAATGCGTGTTATTTGTGTCTTCTACCTCTTTTCTTTTGTTAGATTTGCCAGTGGTCTGCTAATTTTGTTAATTCTTTCAAAGAACCAGCTTCTTGTCCTGTTGATTCTTTCTATAGTTTTTCTGCTTTCTGTATCGTTTATTTGTACTCTAATCTTTATTAATTTTTTTCTTTTGGTGACTGTAGATTTCCATTTTTGGTCTGTTTCTAATTGTTGTAGATGCTGTGTTAACTAAAAAAAATAATTTTAGTTCTCTCTTCTTTTTGGATGTGTGCATGTATTTCAATAAATTGTCCTCTCAGCTCTGCTTTCACCATGTTTCAAAGATTTTTTGTTTTCCATGTTCTTGCATTTCATATTTTTGGTATGTTGTGAAGTGTTAATTTTGTTTGAGGTTACCTTATATTCCATTATCTTTCCCCTCCATTTAGTATAGTCTGTTTTGTCCTGTAATCTACCTGATCATAGACTGACCTCCCAGATCTCTGAGTTTGTTTTTAGAGTTTTGTTCTGTTCTCAAGATTCTCCAAGCATGCATTCACTACACTTCTGCAACCTTTCTTCTGATGTTCAGGATTCCACGATTTTTATCTGTGTCTGTTTCATTTGGTCTCTCGTATTTTCGTTGTAGAGGGCCTGTGTAGTGCATCTGCCATGTTTGCCATTTTTCGCGAAATTCTTCCTGTCCATTATCAACATTAAATAAAGTATACTAGGGGGTTTCAAATAGTTCTTGGAAAAATGGAAGTAAAAGATAATGGAAGCCCCCTCATGCAGAGTGTGAGAAAGTAAAAAGTTACTTCAAACTTCAACTGAAAAAATTTCTGAGGATGAAAAGCAGTTTGTGAATGATATTTTATCATCAAAGTATAACACTGTAGGTCAGCCAACCTTTAATATGTGAATCCTAATAGGACAGTTACATTTCTTATAATGGAAAACACATTCATGATCAAAGGAGAAGGTGGGGGGAGTTGCGGGATAAAAAAAAGATAATTTTAGTTTGAGGAGTTCTGCTAATTTCAAGCAGTCTTGATCTAGTCCCTTTTATTTGTTTAGTTATAATAGCTGTTTTTGTGAAATTAAATACTTTACACATCTGTGTGCCAGACCCAACAAGATAGAGAACAAAGAAATAAACTTCAATCCTACTTTCTTGGAACTTAGATTCCAGTAATAGAAAAAGACAATAATTGTGGTATTGACAGATCATGATACTAGTATACTCATGAAATAAATAAAATCTTAATATAATGATGAGTAATGAATGAGTGGAGCATAGTGGTTACAAATCGGGCTGCGAACTACAAGGTCAGCAGTTCAAAACTACGAGCTGTTCCATGGGAGAAAGATGAAGCTTTCTGCTCTGGTAAAGATGTACAGCCTCGAAAACCCTGTACAGGGTCGCTATGAGTTGGAACTGACTCCACAGCACATAACAACAACAACAAATGAGAGGGTAATTAGGAAACAGCGACCTGAATGGTGACAAGAAGCTTGCCAGGCAAAATCTAGCCACACAAAAAGCCACCTTGAGGTAGAAAGAGAGATTGATATGCTCAGGGAACAGAAAGAAGGAGGCAGTTTAAGGAAAAAAAGAGGGATAGGGTAACTTGAAAAGAGTTGGAGAAATAGAACAATCAAGCAGAGCCTTCTTCAGTGTAAGGAGTTTATATTCCAAGTGCAGTGGAGGAATTATCAAGGGATTTTATGCAGGAAAAATTACTTGGTGTAATATATATCTCTAAATGCTTATTTTTGTCTTTGTGTGGAAATGAATTAGGACCCAAAAATGAAAGCAGGAAGGCATACAGAGTGTAGAAGAGATGATGGTGTCTTAGACAAGGGCTATAGCATTTAGTGGAAATGAAAGAAATGGTCAGAATTGGTTTATGCTTTGCCGGTTGATTGTATATGGGAGGTAAGGGAAATATTTCCAAGTAAAATAAATTTTTTCAAAAGGAACATTTTAGCATAGCATTTAATGTTATTTAAAATTATATTTTCTTGACAATTTTATCACTTTTATTTTGTTCCTTTTTTTTAGGCTTATGCATCTGGATGTGACATTGTAATACTGGGAAGTGATTTTGAAAGATTACAGATAATCCCAGGAGCTAAACATGGAAATATTCAAGTAGGATGTGTAGACTGTTCAATGCAACAAGGCAAGGTTTGTTATTGTGTGATGAAATTCATATTTGTTTTGAATAAGCTTTTTGTAAGAATCATCCATCCCTAAAGTATGTATTTCCTACTAATTTAGAGATTTGCTTTGTTTTAAGGAAAATGTAACTACAAATTTCTTAGACTTTGTAAACATGCATTTTAGATTGGTAGGAATTCTGTTCTTATATAATTTTAAAATCTAGCATAATCCTTATCATTGTATCTTTTGTATGATTTGAGAAAGAAATACAGTATTTATTGTCTATAGAACCTTATAAAACAACCAGAAAAGGATATTTTTCATTGATTTAAAGAGTAAGTTTAAAAGGTATTAAAATAAAATATTTAAAATACATAAAACAGTTTAAGGCTTCTTACATAGTTGAATAAATTGAGGGAAAGACAAATCTTCATTTTGATTATAAATAAACTGCATAAAATCGTTTGGTATAGTCACTTTTGCTTGTAAATAGCTATCTCCTGTCATTTCTGAGTAAGCTTTGTACTAAAATGAAGATGAATTCTTCTAAAATTTGTAATTTGTTATTAATGTATTCCAAGTCTGTAAGAATTTAAAAAAAAAGTCTATCTGGATTTTGCTTATAAAGAATTATAAGTTTAAAATGTTTGAAAATAAAATAGAAAAAACTAAAAACAAGGCATGCAATTTTGTTGTATCAGTTTAAAGACAGTTCTATATAGCACCAGAATTGGGAGAAGATTCATAACTAGTAGGTAGCATAGTATACTTGAAATGACACTATATAGTTATAGATGGATGACCAGACCCAGGTATAATTGTAGCTAGACTGGGCTGAAATTTGTAAATGCACTCACTAATTCCCATTTTCCTCCCTCCCATGCAGGTATTTAAATATATTGTTTGGCTGTATGATTTCAATGATCAAAATGATCATTAAAATTATGTGGACAAAAATTTATTTATTTTTAATCTAATCTTAATTTTTGATAAACTTGCCAGTCTGAAAAGTTACTACTTGGAACCTAAGTAGTAAAAGAGTGAAAAGAGTTTCCACTCTTACAGTCTTTACCTATTTGTTATACTAATGTTCTTTTTGTTATCCACGCATCCCTCCCCTTTTGTATTTATTGTTGGGTGCCATCAAGTCAGTTGAGACTCATAGTGACCATGAATAGGGTTTCCGAAGCTATAAATCTTAATAAAAGTCTTATCTTTCTCCTGCGGAACAGCATGTGGGTTTGAACTGCTGATCTTCAGGTTAGCAACCCAACTCATAATCCACTATGCTACAGGTACTCCTTCCCTTTAATATATTGTTGTTGTTAAGTGCCATCAAGTGAGTTCTGACTTATAGGAACCCTGTATAGGGTTTCCAAGGAGTGGCTGGTGGGTTTAAACCACTGACTTTGTGGTTAGCAGTGTTGTGCTTCTCCTACAGCAGCACCACAGCAAGTCTCTTCCTTTTAATATGATGGTGGTAGTAGTGTGCCGTGGAATTGGTTCTGACTCATAGTGACCGTGTGTAGTAGAGTTTCCGAGGCTGTACATTTAAACAGGATCACAAAGCCTCATCTTTCGCCTGTGAATTAACTGGTAGATTCTAAAGGCTGACCTTGTTTGCAGCCCAGCTCATAATCCTACCCTACGAGGGTTCCTCCCTTTAATATAGCAAATGTGTCTTTCATATATCCCTTCTTTTGTTCAAGCCTTTTGTTACTTATTAATGCTACAATAATTATCTTTATTATGAAGAGTTTAAATTCATGGAGACTGCCTTTTCTTTTTAATTGCCTAGCTCTAGTTTGTATTCATTATTATGTAAAAAATAGTTTTTACCATCTAGATTCACATGAGATTAGTTAATATTGGAAATCTAATTTATTAACTTCCATCAAGAGTTACTTTTTTATGTGTAGTCTGGACTATATAACAGGAGTCCTTGTTGAGTGGTAAAAACAGTTAACACGCTCAGTTGCTAAATAAAAAATAGGAGATTCAAGTCAACCAGGAGGCACTGTGGAAGAAAGACCTGCCAATCTACTTCATAAAAATCAGCCACTGCAAATACAACGGATCAATGTCTACTCTTATCACATATTGGATCACCCTAAGTCAGAACTGTCTTGATGGCAACTGGTTAGACTAGAGGACAGTCCAGATTAGGATAAAGAAGAAACTTGGTTTTATCATAATTAAGAGCAAAGTAGCTGTGGGGAAGGGCGTGCTGATTAAAGCAGTATAGAATGAATACTTTCCTGAAATTTTACTCCAGTCTTTGATTTTTATTACTTCAAATACTAAAAGAAAAAGGAAAGTTTTTAAACTTTTTATTGTGAATTGAGTCAAGGTTTACAGACAAGATCATCACCTTTACATTCAACAAATGCTTTGTTTTACCTCAATAATTACAACCCTGTCCCTGTAATAACAGTTATCCTACTTCCTCCCTGTGCCTTCCATGTTATATCTTATTTTTCACAAATGAACAAAGCAAAAATATTTGATGTACAAATGCAAAACAAGAAACTCATTTAAATGTCCTAAGGGCATATTCTGCAAGCCAGTCTCCTGCCTGCAGACACATAACTTTACTTGTCTGTGGGCCTAGAGTCCACATCTGCTCTCTGTCTCTCTGTGCCATCACTTCTACCACTGATTCTGCTGTTGTTGCTTTTCTAGGTAGGATCTTATGTTCCACCATCTTTCTTCTTGATGGTCCTGGGAGCGTCTGTTTCCAAATTAAAGATTAACTGCTCTCCCTTTTAGTTACACTGACTTCTACAATTATAGTTGTGACAACCACAATTGCTCCTGCAAACAGTTACTCACAATTGAATCATAAAATCCTATCAGCATTGTGTCGTGTCCCCCCCCCCCCCCCCCCACAAGATTCATCTGGAGAAGAGGAAAATTGTTCAGTGGGAATTCTACCTTACTTGCCTCATTCTAAAACTTAAGCACACTCATGAAAGCTTGTCAGCCAGCCTCTTTGTTCCTTTATAGCTTTTTATAGCTTCCCATTTTTGATTGTCAATGTCTAGACTCCTTATCAACTCAGTGCACTGAGGAAACAACCTTGTTCTTTGATATAAAGAATCCTTCCATTCTGGTTGAAATTTTAAGCAACTGCATCCATAAGAAAGGTCCAGTTCATTAAAGTAGGAATTTACATTTGTTCACATTATCAAGCATCTTTATCTTCATTGGTTGAGTTCTGGTTCGGTAGCCATCCAAGGTATGTCAAATGGGTACTAAGCTGCAAGTGTGGTAGTTCACGTATGCCTTGCTGCATTTCAGACCAGCTGAACACTTCACTCTCAGTTCTAGCCCCCAGTGGCTAGGTCAGTGCCCATGGGCTTGGGAGTTCACACATCTTCCTAATCTTCAGACCAGCATCCTTTACTTTTCTCTCTCTCAGGTATCAATGGATCATGTCTTCATTGCTGCATTTCACCAACTTCCACTCACAAGTAGACCCAGGTGGTCACCAGTGAGCATACTAGACTGCTCGTGGGTTCCCTTTGAGTTTCAGTGCAAGAAGGGGGTTTTCCTTGATGGACTGACCTTTCTTGCTTTAATGCCTCCAAAACAAACAGCTTGCTTAATATTAAAAAAGCCAAACAGTTTTTATGCAGGTCTTTCTTTCAATAAGAATCTTCCGTTCTCCCAGCAGTTTTGAATTATCTACATCTACATGTTTTCTCAAGTGGGAATGTCCCAATAATTCAGTAGGTCCTGGGTGGGGCTTAGGATTCCACCTAAGGCCCCAAAGTCTACAAAGGCTTAACGAGAAGCCTAGTTTAATTTCCTGTTTAGCAAATTCTGTAAGTTATAGGCTGAAGATGGGCTTACAAGCTTTCTGTAATTACAGTTCCCAGTATTTATTTCTATCACATATAAATGTCTATTTTATGTGGTGACACCGGCGTGGGTCAGCAAAGGTCTGGGCGATTGTGCCCGGAGACAAGTGGGCAGAGCCCGCAGTAGTGATGTGTAAGGAGTACAGGGATCCTATTGAGAGTCGGCACCATGTGGTGAGACTCCAAGAGTGCAGGGGATCCCATCCCTGCCCTGCTTCCCCCTCTCCTCCCCCACCTCCGTTGTGCCCCTCCCCCCTCCTCCATTCACCCTTCTGGTTGGAAAGTTTCTAGAATCTCTTCCCAGTGGACTTTGTGGTTCCAACATGGTGGAGCTGACAGTGGAGGTTCTCAGCTCCAACAGGGCTTTCTACAAGGGATTTATCAAAGTTGTTCACAGTTGTTTTTGAAAATAATTGGCAGGCAGAATGCCAAGCTCCATTTAATGAAGTACGGTTACCACCGCCACCTGATATAAAAAAAGAAATTAGTGAAGGAGATGAAGTAGAGAAAACCTCTGAAAAAGAATAAAAGTCATGAAAAAGCAATCCTTAAGAATGGTTACTTCAGCTTCTAAGAGAAACTCAAAAACTAAAATAGAATCCACTGGACTTTGATTAAGTTTATTCAAGAACAAATGACCAAGAACCATGTGGATGGTGGTTGGCTAAAGTTAGAATGGTGAAAGAATAATTTTATGTCACTGAGTAGGCTGCTTGTGATGCTACTTACAATGAAATTGTCACATTTGAACCACTTCAACCTGTCAATCAAAATTGTCAAAAAAAAAAAAAAAAACTTTCTTTAAATGCACAGTGGATGTTCCTGAGGATTTGAGAGAGGCGTGTGCTAATGAAAATGCACATAAAGATTTTAAGAAAGTGGTAGGAGCATGCAGAATTTTTTACCCTCCAGAAACCACATAGCTAATCATACTGTCTGCCAGTGAAGCAGCTGTGAAGAAAGTAAATATTTTAAGTGACATGCACTTGCGAAGTATTCGTACAAAGTTAATGCATATGTCCAGAAATGAAGCAGCCACAAAACATTTAGAATGCACAAAACAGCTTGCAGCAGCTTTTCCTGAGGAATTTGTTGTGAGAGAAGATTTATGGGCCTGGCAATAGGAACACATGGTAGTAATATCCAGCAAGCTAGGAAGGT